CCCTGTTGTCCCCATTTCCCTGTCCCCACATCCCCTGCTGTCCCCACGTCCCTGTCCCCATTTCCCTGTCCCCACATCCCTGTCCCCACATCCCTGTCCCCACTCCCCTGCTGTCCCACGTCCCCCCGGTCCCCAGGCACCTCCAGCAGCAGCAGCGTCTCCTGCTCCGTCCACTCCCGCGTGGCGCTGGCGGCGGCTTTGCTCTGCGGGGGGAGATGGGGGTGAGGGGCGGCGGGCGGGGGGCCGGCGCCGGGCCCGGGGGGTGCCCACCTTGGAGGGGACGTTCTTCTTGGTGTACATGTCGGTGCGGAGACCGAAGTTCTGCATGTCGGCCGGCTTCTCCTTGCCCTTGTCCGGGAAGTTCAGCATCTGCTGCGAGGCCGAGCTGGGCTGCTGCTGGGGGGAGAGGGGACACGCTGGGCCGGGCCCGCGGGGCAGGACATCGGCGTGTGCCCTCCTCCTCCCGATGTCCTTCGTGTCACGGCGTCCCCGTCACGGCGCCCCATCACAGGGTCTCCATCATGGTGACCCCATCACTGTGTCCCCATCACGGCGTCCCCATCACGGCGTCCCCATCACGGTGACCCCATCAAGGTGTCCCCATCATGGGGTCCATCACGGGGTCCATCAAAGGGTCCCCATCACCATGTCACCATCATGGTGACCCCATCACGGCATCCCCATAAAGGGGTTCCCATCACCATGTCCCCATCACGGCGTCCATCACGGCGACCCCATCACCGTGTCCCCATCATGGTGCCCCCATCACCGTGTCTCCATCACGGTGCCCCCATCACAGTGTCCCCATCACGGCGTCCCCATCACGGCGTCCCCCCCTCGTCCCTGCTCCCCGGGGCAGGGCGGCATGCGATGGGGAGGAGGGAAGGAGCCTTCCTCGGCCAGCGGCGGGGGGCACGGACCCCCAAGGAGCCGCCTACCAGCTCCGGCTTGCCCTTCACCGTCTCGCTGCCCAGCTCCTCCATCTCTTTGCTCTTGCGGCCCGTCTTGGCGTCGCCGTCGCTCTGCCGGCCCTGAGGCACGGATCGAAGCTGTGCATCCCCCACCCCCCGCCCCACCGGGACCGGGGGGCGGCAGGGGGGGGTCGCGGCTGGGCGGGGCGGCCGCCCCCGGCACCCACCTGGGGCGTTTTGGGCTGCAGGGGCACCAGCCCCGAGGGGGTGTCGGCCAGCACGTGGAAGTGAGAGGTGGGCGGGGGGCCCATGGGGGTGGGCCGGCTCTCGGCGTCCACCTGGTAATTGATGAGGCCCCACTGCTCCAGGAAGGCGTGGACCCTGCGGAGAGCCGGGGTGGCACGGTGTGACACTGAGCGGCTCTGTGCCACGGCACCGGGCAGCCACCAGTGCCAGGGGGACACTGAGTGGTTCTGTGCCACAGCACTGGACAGCCACCAGTGCCAGGGGGACACTGAGCGGCTCTGTGCCACGGCACCGGGCAGCCACCAGTGCCAGGGGGACACTGAGCGGCTCTGTGCCACGGCACCGGGCAGCCACCAGTGCCAGGGGGACACTGAGCGGCTCTGTGCCACAGCACCGGGCAGCCACCAGTGCCAGGGGGACACCGAGTGGTTCTGTGCCACAGCACTGGACAGCCACCAGTGCCAGGGGGACAATAACCACTGTGCTCCACTGGTATTGGACACACACCAGTGCCAGGGGGACACTGAGCGGCCCTGTGCCACGGCACCGGGCAGCCACCAGTGCCAGGGGGACACCGAGTGGTTCTGTGCCACGGCACCGGGCAGCCACCAGTGCCAGGGGGACACTGACCACTGTGTTCCAATGGTATTGGACACACACCAGTGCCAGGGGGACAACTGACCACTCTATCCTGCTGGCACCAGGGTCAGAGCCTGTTGGACCTGGTGTGGGCAGTGTGGTGTGACACTGACCATCCCTGTGCCACGGCACCGGGCAGCCACCAGTGCCAGGGGGACAATGACCACTGTGCTCCACTGGTATTGGACACACACCAGTGCCAGGGGGACACTGACCACTGTGTTCCACTGGTATTGGACACACACCAGTGCCAGGGGGACACTGAGCACCCCTGTGCCATGGCACCGGGCAGCCACCAGTGCCAGGGGGACACTGAGTGGTTCTGTGCCACGGCACCGGGCAGCCACCAGTGCCAGGGGGACAATGACCATAATGTTCCAATGGTATTGGACACACACCAGTGCCAGGGTGACACACGCCACCCTGTGCCGCGGCGCTGGGCAGCCACCTATGCCAGGGTGCCACACCCTTGGTGTGGAACCCCCAACACCCCTGGCACTGGACCCCTGCCACCCCCATGGTGCCAAAACGATCCCCCTGCCCCAGTGGCACCAGATCCCTGCCACGCCTGGGGTGCCACACTGACCCCCTGCCACGCCTGGGGTGCCACGCTGACCACTCAGCAGTGTGCCACACTGACCCCCTGCCGACCCTGGGGTGCCACACTGACCCTCCAGCAGCACCAGGGTGCCACACTGACCACTCAGCAGTGTGCCACACTGACCCCCTGCCAACCCTGGGGTGCCACACTGACCCTCCAGCAGCACCAGGGTGCCACACTGACCACTCAGCAGTGTGCCACACTGACCCCCTGCCAGCCCCAGGGTGCCACACTGACCTCCTGCCCACGAGCACCAGCCCCCTGTCAGTTTTGGGGTGCCAAACCAACGCTCAAACACCAGGAGCACCACACCCCTGGCATCATGTGGGTACCAAACCAACCCCCAAACACCAGCATCAACAGCCCCCTGTCAGTTTTGGGGTACCAAACCAAACCCTGAACACCAGGAGCACCACACCCCTGGCAGCGTGTGGGTACCAAACCAACCCCCAAACACCAGGATCACCAGAACCCTGCCAGTTTTGGGGTGCCAAACCAACGCTCAAACACCAGGAGCACCGCACCCCTGGCAGCATGTGGGTACCCTAAACACCAGGATCACCGCACCCCTGGCAGGACTGGGGTGCCAAACCAACCCCCAAACTCCAGGATCACCAGCCCCTGGCAGGACTGGGGTGCCAAACCAACCCCCAGACACCAGGAGCACCCCTCCCCTGGCAGCACCAGGGTGCCCCCAGCCCGCAGCCGGTGCCACCCACCGCATGATGGCACAGACGTCCCCGGCCAGGTTGCGCCGGCAGGCCGTGGAGGTCAGGTACTCCTGCGGGTTCAGCCGGTACGTGTCGATCATGAAGTTCCGGTAGGCCAGGTAGCTGCGGGGGCACGGGAGGGGGCTCAGCACCGGGCACGGCCCCGGGGGGCTGCGGGCAGGGGGGGAGAGGGGCTTCGGCCTCACATTTCGGGGGTCTTGGATTTGTTTTTGCCGTTGAAGAACTCGGGCAGGGCGCGGCGCTCGATGGCGTGGACGCTGCGGGAGGAGAGGCTCGGGGAGGGCTCTGGAGCAGCCTCCTCATCCTCAGGTGATGAAGGCAGCTCGGGACCCCCCCTCAGCTGTACCTGTTGTAGTCGAACCAGGCGGCGTAGCTGGGGATGATGATGTGGTGGGTCTGCTCTGTCACGTTGTCCTCGTGCAGGTCGGGGTTCTTGGCCTGCTCCCCTTTGCTGCCGGTGCCGTTCTCCTCCTCGTCCTGCCCCACAGAGCAGCACCCCATGGGCAAAGGGACCCCCTTCAGCGCCCTTCATCATCCTCACCCACAGCAGGATGAGACCAAGGGCCCCGGCTGCAGCCCCAGGGGTGAGGGGAAGGGCAGAAAAGAACGTTTTTGTACCCAAAAGAGGGACAAGGAATGAGAGAGAAGCGGGTGCTCATCGAGCTACGGTGCCCCCCGTGCTGGAACACCTTCCCCGGGCTCACCTTGCCAGCTGTCTCCATGCTCTCATCTTCCTGCTCATCTGGAAGGGAGGACAGGGGTGGGTTTGGGCACTGCCAGGCCGGGGGTCTCGAGGCTCTGCTGTGGCTCCTCAGACTCACCCAGGTCTGTCATGGTGCCCCCCTTGACGGGCGCCGACTCCGAGTCCTTCTTGGTGTTGACTGTGGGGGGAAAAGTGGTGCTGAGCACCCCGGGGACCCCTCCCACAATGCTGGGGAGCCCAGGGCGTGGCTGCTGCCCCCCACACTGACCTGTTTTGGGCAGAGTGACCTCCTCCACGTTGGGGACGGGTGAGGGCTCGTCCATGTCCTTGGTCAGGTCCTCCTGCTCCTCCTCGCGGTGCCCACGCTTGGATTTGTTATAGGGGGTAGAGGGTCTGCCAAGGGAGAGACCCCCCATCACCACTGACCCCCAGGGCTGAACTCGCCCACCCCCAGACCCCCCCAAACCCCCCCAGCTCACCCCTTCTTCGCGTTCTTCTTCTTGGCCTCGGGGGTGGGCGAGGGCGAGGGCGAGCGCTTCCTCTTCTTGTAGTTGCCCCCCTTCTTGTCCCGCCGGTCCGAGTCGGGGCTGTTCACCTGGGGGGCACCGCGGGGGTCCAGCTGAGCAGGGTGAGACCCCCAGGACCCCTCCCCGAGGGGCTCTGAGCTGGCTCTGACCTCGTCTGTCAGCGTCTTGGCCGAGATCTTCTTCCTGCGGGTGACGGGGCTCTTCTCGTCCGTCACCTCGTAATCCTCCTCGTTCATCCACTCGTTGAAGGTGTCCGTGTCCAGGATCCACTTGGCGTGGACCTGCCGGCCAGGGGAGAGGCTGGCTCAGGCCAGGGAGGGGGGCTCCAGCTGCCCCCCAAACCTGGGGGTCCCCCCGGTACCTTCCGGGGCTTCTCCGGTGTCGGGGGATCCTCCACGGACGCCTCGATCTCGCTGGCCGGGATCCAGGTGTCGTAGCTGGGGGAACAGGGGGAGAGGGTCAAAGTGACACCCGCAGCGATTTGGGGGGGGACAGGGGGTCCCCGAAATCCTCATCCCCCCCTCACCTGTCGGGGTAGTACCCCCAGTGCAGCAGCACCTGCTTGTCGCGCTTCATGACGGGCCGGACCCACTCCTCTGCGGGGCACACCGAGGGCCGGGCTGAGCATGGACCCTGCAGCCCCCCGTGGCCCCCCAAAAACCCCACCTGCCCACCTAGAACCCCCTGTGACCCCCCAAATTCCCCTCCTGCACCCACCTTCCCCTGCCCCCCAGAGCCCCCCGTGACCCCCAAACTCC